TGTGGTGTGTGTGTGTGTGTGTGTGGTGTGTGTGTGTGTGCGTCCATTCTTCCTTCCCGAAGAGACGCGAACCGTCGTCGGGGCTCCGAGCGGACTCCCTGGATGGCCGCAGGAGCCTCGGAGGGCGAGCGGGGCGGCCCCCCCCCCGAGCATGCCCGGGGGGGGGCCTCTTGGAAGGGTATATAGGCCCGTCTTGGAGTACAGTGGAACGTATAGTGAGGACGGGTGGTAAAGACGCAGCCGGCGACCGCAACCCCAGGGACGCAAGTAGAATCGTCAAAGGAAAGGCCGGAGAGGTAAGGACGCAAGCGTACCCTGGAAAAGGCGCGCGTCCCTAGTATGCTTGTTGATTGTAAGATTAGAGGAACAAGCAACGGCGTAAACATCTACTTTCGGAGCTCCGCGCGGATTTCCTGGAGCTATGCTGGACCCTCCTCCCTGGCGCGCGGAGCGTGCCAAGGGCGGCGCTGGACGCGCCGCCTGGAGAGCCCTGGCGGCGGGTCCAAAAAGTCCGCGCGGAGCTCGAAGAATTTATGCTTATGCCGTTGTGTGTTCCTCGGACAACTACAGAGGAACATGAGCCCGTACCTCGCAAGTCTCGGACAGATCTGGCACACGACGGGATATGTCTACGATGAACGACCTCGCACGCAGAGGTGCGACTTGGGCCAAAGGTGAAGGCACATCATTACTATTGACAGTTCGGCCTCTCGGTTGGAACAGGACGGCATGTGAAACGATAGTCCACTTGGGGTGGCAGTATACAGCCATCCTGCTACCAGAAGGAACGCTGGATAAGGAACGAACGAGTTTTTTTTGGATACGGCGAGCCTCGGCCACGAACAAGTTCTCCGACCTAGACCTAAGGAACAGTCCGAAAACCACAGCCCCCCCTGAGGCCGAAATAACCCTTATTTCAGCGCCTGGATTGTCGCTGGGTCAGAGCTCGCGGCGTGCACTGGCTGCGGGCTCTGGCGAGGACAGCCCATCATCAACCATGCACGTTTCTGAAACTGCCGTCATCAGCAGTCCCCGCCCATGCCGATCAGTTCGAGTTGCGCTGGTCGCCCGCTCAGGACCACCCCCGCATTCGCGAGTGCACCCACCCGAGCGGATCGCCTTCAGGAAGCGCTCGAAATGCGTCACGACCAGCATCGAGGTGGAGGTCTCCTGCTTCCGCACCCTCTCGATGGAATCTGCCACCTAAGTCTGCCACGGCTCAAGCCAATCCAAATGAGCGGGGTGGGCCACTTTCCACGCGCCCATCCTGCAGGCACCCGGCGGCGATCCTCCTCACGCTCGCCATGTTTGTTTCCACGCTCGCCTTGCGCCTCCTCACGCGGCGATCCTCCTCACGCTCGCCCTGCGCTCAATTCTCAAGTCGAACGCCACGCGCGCTGCCAATCGTGTGGTCGTCACGGAGACGGAACCCCCCACACCCTGACGGGGCGCGACGTCGCTCGCTTGTCCTGTCTGGAGACCCTCTTGAGGATATCTTGGGGACTTCTCGGATCGACTCCAAGATCTACTCAAGACGTGTCAGGGTTCCTTCACGCTTCGCGCCAGGATAACATCCAAGATAGCTCAAGACAACGGAAGATGGTTCAATATAGCCTACGATAGCCTCTGACATACCTTCGGGAGGCCTCGAAATGACCCCAAGACGGCTCCACGTGCCCCTGGAGCCATCCAATGAACCGCCCAAGAGGGGTACGTCTCTCCAGAAAAGGAAGCTTCACATTGTACCTTCTAGCCGGTTCGCTCCCGACGAACCTCGGAGACTCCTGAACCTCAAAAGTCGCACGGGCATCGCTTCAGGAAGGGCTGGTGGGGACACTTTGTTGTTTACCGACCGCTAGCGGAGGAACGCCGCGCGGCGTCAGTAGGTCGAACGAAAGCCGGGCCTACGTGGAACAGGACAGAAACCCAGACAACAGCTGACTGGTGGGGGCACTTTTTTTCGCGGGCGCGAGCGGACGCGCAGGCGCCGAGTCGAAAGGTCCGGGCCACGGGCCGATCTAATTGGCAACGCGCAAGCCGAGAAGCACAGCGACCGAGCCCGAAATTAGAACCTACCGCAGGTGGGGCAGATGGCTGAGGCTGAGCTGGCTGAGCTGACTGCAAGCGGCCAGGGTAGCAAATGCAAACGTGCGGGTGAATTAGGTCATGTACGCCAGGAGATGTCGTGACCTCTTCTGTATCTACAGACCAGACGTCGGCCAAGCGAGGCAGTGCCACCATACGGGCAAACCCGGGACGGCGGCCGACCAGGAACAGGGTCCGAGAGGTGCAATCGCGCTCGAACTCGAGAGGGTACCGTGGGAGAAAGTCACCAGGTACGCAAACGGACCTTGTCGCCACAGGCGCCAGGGGTCAGGGCCACAGCGGCTGGAACGCGCCAAGTGAGGGCGGTAACGAGGCGCCAGTGGGGGGTGCGCAGACCACTGCAAGAAGGCTGAACCACTCCAGAGTGGGCGGCGACGAATCCCCATAGGGCCAG